GTACAGTAAAAAGTACAATATGCACCTCTGAGGTGTGGTACAGTTAAAAAGTACAATATGCACCTCTGAGGTGTGGTACAGTAAAAAGTACAATATGCACCTCTGAAAGGGCTGGGCGGTATACCGGTTCCAATTTCCCAGACGATATGAATTTTTCATACACCGTCATACCGGTGCACAGCCGAAAATACTTCTGTTGCTCTTCAACAGGCAGCAAAATATATTGTTCGGACCTTGGAATGCTACAGTCGGAGCTAGTTGTCTTAGCTGTGAGGGAACCCTTGTCATGGTTAATTTTATAACAACAATTAACAACCCACAACTAACGCTCTTTAACAGGGCAAAACACCACGACACAACAGTTTGTGACACATAAACCATTTGTAGCACTAATAAGTGTACATTTATAAAATTTCTTCGCCGAACTGCATGCTGGGTAAAGCTCGCTTGCTAACAGCTGGGAGAGGCTCTGCGCCAGTAACGTTACATTACAGAACAGAAAAGAGCGATGCAGGATGAACACAGGCTGAACAACAAAAGGTATTTAGGTCAGACACATATGCACGCTGACTACCGTAATATGTGTGGTATTTGTTATAAATGTACGTTGTTACATAGACGGTGATAAGCTGTACGGAGGGGCTTCTTCTTCCTTAAATTCCATTGGCGGGTCGCTACTTGCATAGGTGCATACCGCCACCTAGTGTACCGGAGTGTGCATTTTCAGGGTAACCTTTTCTTCACTGTTCTGATAATAAAATAAATTAAAAAAAATAATTATATATATATATATCTATACCTAAAAACACCTACTAACAACTAAATCCTACGGTCTAATCCCGTTTCTTTCCATGGAGGGGCTTAGGTGAAGGAAAAACGGCTGTTCACCGCTCGCTGGCCGGTTGTTTCTTTTCGACGTTAATTAATTAATGCTTTAATGTGGGGAAAAAAATACCGTGAAACCGCCAGAATCTTACAAAATACCGTGATATGCATTTTTGGTCATACCGCCCAGCCCTCCTCTGAGGTGTGTACCAGTAAAAAGTACATGTACCTGTGAGGGTTATTTTTTGGTTAATCCATTTTATAGTTTATATAATGACCTGGAAACAAAGCTACTGAACTCAAAATTATGTCTATAATAATCTTACTTTTAACAGTCAAAGTAAAATATGAAGCCGAGAAAAGCCGGCAGATTGCGTTTAAGTGTTATTTGTTACTTGTACTTCTACATCATTCGTGTATAAACACAGTTTTCATTCATTAAATGAACGATTCAGCACTAAGTGTACTCTTTAATCCGGCTTTGGCGCTTGTGTAACATTCAGAATACTTTTATAATAAATATTTAATAAATATATAATAAAGGGCTGAATAACAAAGTGATCTTCTGATGATGAAAATGTATTTATTTTGCAGAACCAACTCAGATCTACAGGTTCCTCCGCACCAGGAACCTGATCGCTGTGAGTGTTCCCTCACGACTGATGAACTTGACCGTTTGAGATGAGAGGAATAAGAATAATACTTGTTTTCTGTTCCTATCAGCCGATATTCTTGCACAGGACTCTCACCTACATGTCCCACAGAAACTCGAGGAATAACGTCAAACGGTAAGTAATCCTGTGGTTCTTCTGTCTTTCTCTGGTTCAGGTTTCATAATGTTGTGTTGAGCAGTTTGTCTGCTTCAGAGACGGCTCGGTGTTCTAACCCACTGCGATAGGAGAGACGTGTTTCAGCTGGTGCCGCTTTGCATACAGCAACACAAACTCCTGATACGCACGAGGCTGCTCGTGGTTCAGATGTCTGCTGTTTACGTCACATGGATGTTGTGCAGCTTATGTTCTTCAGTCTTGTTGCCGCTTGTGACACGATTTCAAACGGAACAGTATTTTTTGTCACTTTCCTGCAGCTGTTTGTGATGTGACTCGTGTAGAATTGTGTATTAATTTGTCAGAAGGTATTAAAATAGTTTATTGGATTCATGTGCTGCCGGAGAATCAGTGACAGTTCATGTTTCTGTTATATTTATGTGCAAAAGGAAAAAAGTGAGAGAAACACACACATGTATTTTAATATATAAGTTTGATTATTTTTTATTAATTCAATTGTCTTAATTATTTGAGTTTTAACATCAATTAAAACTTGAAAAGAAAAAGACCAAAATATTCAGATTTTCACTGAAGTTATTTCTAGATAATCAGCCTCTCTTTGTTCCGATCAACACTGAATTCAGAAGTGTAACAGCTGCCGTCCTCTCATCAGACCGAGGAACAGTAACTTTCTGTGCAGTGATCTGGTCGGGGGACTAAAAATGGCCGCCGTTACGATAAGGTGTGTTATTCCTGATCTGAAGCGTCTGCAGCTCGGCTCAGTTTCACTTTCCTCTTCAGTCACATGAATGAGCTCCGGTTATCAGCTGTTCACAAAGCACCAAGCGAGACATCTAACGTTTTGGTGACGTGGTGTCCAGACACAGTTTCTAAAGGTGCTCCATCCAAAGCCCGCGCTCACAGCGACGTCTCGATGTTTTATAGAACTGGAAAGCCAGTTAAAGTAAAAGGCCCCCCGGCCGCCCGCACGTCAGGACCCGGCACGCTCTTTTTGATTCAGTGCGTCTGAACGCAGCCTGAAGATGTAAGAGTGTGTTGCTCGTGTCCTGTGAGACCCCCTCACAGCCTCCCAGGTGTTTTCACTTACTTTGGCTCATTAGACGGCTGCTCAGGTCGGAGCCGGACGGAAGCAGGAATTATGTGAGGCCAGCAAACTAAAAACACACCCAGCGACACAGATCTGATTCGTGGTTCGTGGTTGTTTTTCCGCTTCGGATCAAACAACTTTAAGTGGACAGAAAACAGAAAACATCAGAGACACTGTTCATCTCGTCGAGAGCTGATTTACACTCCTGGAGGTTACATGTAGCGTATATTTATATATACATACATAACATCTAAACCTTCACCGATAACCGTCTGATGGCTTTCACGTCTGAAAGATTTCTTTGTTTTAGGACTTTTATTAAAGAATCGGACAGCTGACATGTTTGAGGGCAAAGGCACAATGAGAGTAAAGTAAAAGACTACGTTGGGCTTGTAAATCTAACAACTAGTAAAAAATAAAATATATATATTTTTTTACTGAAACGGATGATAGAAGTAGCTAGAGAGAGAGTCTTCTTCTACGTTGCATCAGAGTTGCTCAGAACCGATCGGTCAAGAAAATGGCGGCGGGTCAAGAGAAAGTCCATGAGCTGAAGTGCAAGCGAGCATTTTAATGATCCTAAACGTGAAGTTTAGTTTGGAGGCGTTAAAAGTTGCGGGGGAACTCCAACTCTGTACGTGTCACGGCCAGTCTTGGAATAGTGATGAAATGTAATCTACTGGTTTTGTCTACATGGACATAAATTGTCCGTTTTGTCCGTTTCGACACAGAAAACAAACGCCAATAGAAAGTGAATCGGGATGCTTTTCTTCGTGGTGGACTCGCACTTTACATCGTCGTATTAAATATCCAGCAAAACCACTTCTGGTGTTCCAACAAAATGGACTTTGAGCAAGTTACTGACCTGAAAACCCTGTTTAGAGCAGAGGATGTTAGTCAGGGGACTGAGTCTATGCACTGATCAGTGACTGAAGGCCAGTGTTGTTGTTGTTGTTGTTGTTGTTGTTGTTGTTAACCGGCTGTTTGTCTCCACAAACAGGAAAAGCTCCAAGGTTGACAACCTGTTGTTCAAAGTGGAAAAGATGCGCGGTGAACAGGAGACTCACAGGTAAACTTTACAGGCACCAGAGCATCTTCTGTGGACGCTAACAGCAGCCCCACTCTAAGACAACTGACCTTCTGAACTTCACGTCTAGCGGACATTTGATCAAATATAAATCATCTGTTTGAAGTTCTTGTGTTTTTGTTTTTCACAGCTTGGCCTCTAATCTGCAGCTCACATTTACCGGCTTCTTCCATAAAGCTGGTAAGTTTGTCCGTCTTTTTATTCATTTTTTAGGGTTCTAACGGAAAGTGTCGAGATGAGATCAGATCTCATCTTCTAGATACTAAGGAAAAGCTTCCTTCCTTATCTCCTTTAGGGAACACCGTGACCGTCCTTTACACAAAGGAAAGGAGACGATGCTGTCGCATATTTAAAGCGACAACATGGATAAATTCAAAACATTCTTCGAAAGTGTCTTTTCACAGTCGGGCGCTTTTCATTTTTTGTGCCATTATTTTGCACTTCAACGTGTTTTATTTTCACACAGAAGGCGAATATTACGCGGCAGAAAAGTGACACAATCAACCAATCACGCTGAGCGGAACGGACTGATTCAAAACATTCACTCTGCCGCACAACAACACGGACGCTCTTAAAGTCTAAAGACAACTTTATTACTCCTTTCAACTTTGACCAAGGCAGCGCACATCCACTACTTCTGTTCTAACCTTTCACAATAAAAGCCCTAGATGCATATACACTGAGTAACTGTTTATGAGAGGTTAAGAGGAAACTCGGTAGAATAAACACGGTATTTAGTCTTCTGCATGCGAGAATCTATTCAAACCATTTTATTACAAAATATCGCTGCCGGTGTGAAAAGTTTTGATGTGAAATATTACACATTATGTATTATTTATTAAATAAATAAAGTTGCTTTAAATATAACAAACATCCGTAGCCTGGTGTAATATCAGTGGGATTCAGACTTTTTTCCTGCTGATTCATGGCGACTTTCACAGGAAGTGTTTTGTTTGTGTTCTCAGGGAAGCCGTCTCAGGACAGTGAGAACGAGCAGAACTCTGTATCTCTGGAGGTGCTGCTGGTCAAAGTCTGTCACAAGAAGAGGAAGGTGTGTGTGCGTGCGTGTGCGTGCGTGTGTGTGCGCTGAATGCTTCCTTCACTGGTCCGCTCAGGCGTCAGAGAATCTGAAATGTCTTGTTTTCCTCCTTGTGTCCAGGACGTGAGCTGTCCCGTGAAGCAGGTCCCGACGGGGAAGAAGCAGGTTCCTCTGAACCCAGACACGAGCGCCGGAGTCCAGGCCAAGCCGGGCTCCTTCCCCTCCTTACTGGTTCCCAGCAGCGAGTTCGAGCCCAGCAACTCCCACATGGTGAAGTCGTACTCGCTGCTCTTTAGAGTGTCGAGGCCCGGGTGCCCCCGGACTCAGATCAACGGCCTGGTCAACGGAGAGAACCACCACAGCAGAGGTCTGGGTACGTTTTGTTTTACTGGTTTATTTTTAACACATGTTTTGATTTATGTCGATTAAGAACAACGGCGTACTCGCCAGGTTAGTCGCTCACGTCTGAAAACAAAGAGACGTCACTTTAGACTTCCTGCTTCAACATTTGACTCTAAATGGACCATAAAGGTACTAAATGAACATCATGCTGTATTGAAGAAGACTTGAAACTAGAGATTGAGACCATAAACTCATGTTTACAATGTTTACTGAGGTAATAAATCAAGAGAGAAGTAGAGTCATTTTCTCATAGACTTCTATACAACCAGAGGAGCAAAGTCAATATACAAACCAGGTAAAGTTAGTTTGTTTCTATGGATAATAAATCTATGTAATGTCTGTCCACCCTGTAAGAGAGAACCCTCTCTGAGGTTTCTTCCATGTTGTTTTTGGAAGTTTTGATTAGCTATTAACGTTAACTTGTTAAAATGATCTTTGAGGCTCGGTGTCTGAACGTCCTAAAGATTGTTTGTGACGGACATGAAACAACATCTACAACCTGAGACCTAAAGAGGGCCGAGGAATGATCTAGCACATCAAAATCCAGAGAATCTCAGAGTAAAACCTTCTTAAATATCAATATTTTAAGCTTTAAACTCAGCAAGTACATTTCTATCAAAGCTGCAAAAACTTGTGGCAACAAACCAACATTTAGTTCTTTGTTGCTTGTTGTTTGGCTCTTTGTTGTCTCATCAATGTGCCCGTCTCAGACTTTACAGAGGAAGTGGTGAACAGGAAGAGGAGGAGCTCCTCTCTCAGGGAGGAGGGAGAAACCACGTTTGTGGCTCAGATGACGGTCTTCGACAAAAACAGGTGAAAACTTACAAACCGTCGCCTTCTGACGCTCAGGAAAGACATCTTTGTTTTGATCCCAAGAAGTGACGTGTGTGTGTGTGTGTGCGCGTGTGCGTGTGTGTGTAGACGTCTGCAGCTGCTGGATGGGGAGTACGAGGTGTCTATGCAAGAGATGGAGGAGTGTCCCGTCACCAAGAAGAGGGCAACGTGGGAGACCATCCTGGATGGAAAGGTGAGCGTTAGTTCAGAACTAAACCCGACGAGGCGGTTAAATCCTCACTTCAGACTAGAGATGGGGAGGGATAACTTCCAGTATTGTTTCTTAATGAGTTTGAATGGCTTTTATTATTCATTTATTATAAAAGGTATTGTCTCTTTTCTGTCAGTATCTCTTTGTTGTTGTTTTTACTTTTCTGTTTTTGTATTGAACTCAATGTGATTGTAAATGATCCCTAGAGAGTAAATAAGGGTTCTAAGAGTTATTATTATTATTATTATGGTCTAAACATCACTCACCTCTATCTTCTGCCACCTCACCGTCAGTGGAGGCTGATGAATACATAATCCCTTAGTTGTTTATTTGTCTGGTTCACGTTATTAATCTGCTACAATGATCTTCTCTCTGTGTATTTCAGCGTTTGCCTCCCTTTGAGAGCTTCTCTCAGGGTCCCACCCTGCAGTTCACGCTGCGCTGGACCAGCGACTCCTCCGACCGCTCCACTGCTCCCGTGGCCAAACCTCTGGCCACCCGCAACTCTGAGACCAACCTGGACCCCCGACCCAGCACCCTGAGGGCCACACACACACTGGGTGAGTCTGAGGGGGGAAACGGCAACAACACGGGAGGTTTTTATGATCCGTCCTCCGTCAGCGGTGCAGCAGTTAATGCTGTGTGTTCACCCAGAGCTCCAGGGTAGAGACCGGACCAAACTATGTGTGTGTATAAACCATATGGTCCAAACAATGAAAAAGACGCTCCCGTATCTACGCCTAGATGACGTTAAGTTGAGTGTTGATGGAGCAGACAAGAAGGCGTTTAGTTTCCCAGGATATCTGGGACTTCCACAGTAAGTACTAAGCAGGAATAGAGGTTATTTCTTCCACGGTTGGTGACGGAAATAAATGATTTAGTTGATAACGGCTTCCATGGATATAAGCCACGCCCCCTCGCCAGCACGAATGAGGCAAATAAACGCAAATGTTTGTTGTGAACGCAGCTTTAAAACTTGACTAATTTCTCTCCTTCTGTGCTGCAGCTGTTAAAGAATCCATAAACGCTGACCTGACGACCAGAAGAGAACTCATCTCAGCTGAGCCGCGACAGAAGCTACGCATCTTCTACCAGGTGGGTCTGCACGGCACACCGTCACCTGTCAACAGAAACAAGCTCCACATTCAGGCTCAGTCAGCTACTGCCGACATCAAGGTGTTCCTTAGATTCACAAACCCTCAGTCACTTATTAACAAACCCACAACTACACTGGGAGACCTGGATTAACTGTGGAAATCAGAAACTAAAATTAATAGAATTTTAAAGTTTTAAGTATTTGCAATTTAAAATATGGATCAGACAGAAAATCTTGACCTCGGAAAATAGAGTTAAATGAATCATTCTAGCTTAAAATAATTGATTCAAACTTTAGAAAATCTTAGTAGTTATGAGTAAATATACTTTGACACTATATATACTAAATATACTTTGCAGAAGCGCCAAAAAGAATCTCTTCTCCTCCTCGTGCTGCAGCATCACTGAGATATCAGAGTGAAGTTCTGCTGTGGATGTATTTTATACACCTAAATAAAACACGATCAGTTTAAGCGTACGAAACATTCAGAATAGTTTTATTCTGAACTTAGCGTTCACTTACACTCACATTGATTCATATAGGTGTCTAAGATACACCCACAGCAGAACTTCACTGTATCTAAGGAAAAAGAGTCAAACTGTCCATCCAATCATTCTTTAGACGACTAGAGACGAGAAAGACACACAAAATAAATTCATCCCTGGGAGAGACGAGATGGATTGAAGCCCCACAGATGATCCTGTGTGCGTTTGTGCTCACCGTCTCGTCTCTCTGACGCTCGCCGTCTCTTCTTCTTCTGTCCAGTTCCAGTACAATAGCAACACGCAGCAGCAGACGGAGGCCAGAGACGACCTCCACTGTCCGTGGTGCACCCTCAACTGCAGGAAGCTCTACAGTCTGATCAAACACCTGAAGCTGTCTCACTCCCGCTTCATCTTCACCTATGTGGTGAGACGAATCACGCGGTCCAGAAACCTTAAGTTATCCTGATAGATCAAAGAAAAGTAGCCATTTATACATTATTATAATATACTTTATATATTTTTGTTCCTCAAATGTTCACTGATCCATGTTTAGAACTGGTTCACGTTGATTTAAAGGCTTTCCTCAAAAGATTTTTAAGAAGTGATTTTTAAAAGATGTTTAGCAGAACTTCCAGATGTTGCTGCCGTCCGTTCTCATTCTCTCCTGATCTCCTGATCTCCTGATCTCCGGCAGCCCCACCCTAAAGGAGCGAAGATCGAGGTCTCCATCAACGAGTGTTACGACGGCTCGTACGCAGGAAACCCTCAGGACATCCACAGCCAGCCGGGCTTCGCCTTCAGCAGGAACGGGCCGGTCAAGAGGACGGCCGTCACAAACGTGGTCGTCTGCAGGTAGTGCTTCACTATCATAGGGATGGTTGTGATGTTTGACTGTGGACGTATTTCAGACACGCAATAACAGTCATTTTACATGTTTATTGACTGTTATATTCCATTCTTGCCAAATGAATCCACCTCAACGTTACACGCTGTTGATTTTAAAAACCTGCCTCTGCTGTGATCGGCGACGGCATTTTTCCTCAAATGCCTTACTTCCTGTCAAGGGTGCCAGTAGTTCTCCAGGATACTATGGATATTATGGTTTGTCAAATATCTCATTCTTTAATATTTTTGAAAGTCTTTTTTTTTAATTTTCCAAATCTCTGCAGACCCAAGAGGACGAAGGCGAGTCTGTCCGAGTTCCTGGAGCCGGAGGACGGAGACCAGGAGCAGCCGATCATCAGCGGACACAACCGCCTCTACTTCCACAGCGACAGCTGCGTCCCGCTGCGTCCTCAGGAGATGGAGATGGACAGCGAGGATGAGCGGGACCCCGACTGGCTCAAAGAGAAGACCGCCATGGTTAGTTCAGGGACAAACGAAGAAGGGTTGTCACGTTGATTGCGTTTCAGTGTGTGGTGTCTAAAGTCTCTCTCTCTCTCTCTCTGTCTCTCTCTCTCTCTCTCTCTCTCTGTGCAGCAAATCGAGGACTTCACCGACGTCAACGAGGGGGAGAAGGAGATCATGAAGCTGTGGAACCTCCACGTCATGAAGCACGGGTGGGCATGAAGCAGAATACACACGCGTGTTGATTTAAATGCATTCATGCATCACCAGCTGCTGACCGAGCTATCAAGAGTCAAATATTGAGATTGTTAAACTGATCAGCTGACTCATTTTAGCTGATCTAATCTGTGGAATAGAGAGCTGCAGGGATGATGTGTGTTTTTGTAGTCATCGACAAAACAGCCAATGGGATTCTTCCGTTTGCTTCCCCCCCCCCCCTGCAGTTTCATCGCGGACAACCAGATGAACGAGTCCTGCCTGCTGTTCGCCGACCACCACGGCGTCCACATCGTCAGGAACGACCTCTGTCGCAACTTCCTGTTGCACCTGATCAGCATGCACGACTTCAACCTGGTCACCACGCAGACCATCGACCAGGCCATGGCCCGCCTGCGCCTCCTGCAGAGCCAGGGAGCTCGCAGGGACGAGGAGGAGGAGGAGGAGGAGGAAGAGGAAGAGGAGGAAGAGGAAGAGGAGGAGGACTGGGAGACGGCCGTGGAGTCCCAGCCAGAGCTGGATCCGGATCTTGAGTACACGCCCTGCAATGACGAGACCAGCACCGGCTGTGTGGAGAATGGAACCCAGAAGGAGGAGGAGGAGAGCGGAGGAGCTGTGACAGAAAGGACGACCAGCAAGCGGAAACTCTCCGACTGTGATTCGGTTTTAAACTGAAGAAAAATGAGAGTAAATTTAAAACACGGTGACAAACAAACAGGTTACTGCAGGGATTCAAAAACAAGATGAAGAGCCGTTCATCATTTCATCGCCAGGAGGAGGAGTGAGGAGTGTGACCTGACCTTGCATCCTTTCCTTTCATTTCCAACCCGCTGAGTTTATTAAAGACTGAACTTTGGAGGAAGCACAATAGTCTGGATTCATTGACGGACCAGATTCTTTCTGTGCTCTCTCTCTCTCCAACTTTAACTTTTCCTTTTGTTGTCCTCGGTGTTCCTGCAGCACTCGGCTCCACCAAAGGTTTTTACTTTATGACTGAGCGTGTTCTACGTTACTGTCACGCTTATGGGTCAAAGATGTCCCATCAGGTCTCTGATCCAGCGTTCGGGTGTCTGATGTGGTCTTTAGGTGTCTAATAGTATCTCCAGGGGTCTGATCAGGTTTCTGTGTCTAATCTGTTCTCTGGGTCCCTGATCAGGCTCCTAGGACTCAGAGTATGTCTCCAGCTGTCTGATGTGGTCCCTATGCATCCAATCTGGTCTCTGGGTGTCTGTTAAAGTGTTAGGGATTCTTACTAGTTCTCTGGGTGTCTAACCTGGTTTCTAATCAGGTCTTCAGGTCTCTGATCTGGTGTCCAGATGTCTTATCAAGTCTCTATATTATATAATATAATATAAT